CACATCAATACACTTCTAGAACTAATTAATAGATTCAAAAACTTAATGCCACATCAAAGGGAAGAAGAAGGGACTAATAAGTGGACAGAGAGATGGCATGCCATTTATCGCGTCTAAAATGCATCTTTTTTTTCAGAAACAAAAAGACAGCAATAGAAAACACTCACTTCTTTTCAAAATATCATTCTACAGAACTGTGATCTACAAACTGTACTTGCTTACATTTGGGCTTGCTCCTTCTAAGAAACAAGTTAGGACGAGTATGGGAAGCTAGCTGAATTCCCCAGAGAGCTAATTCCTGCATGAAGAAGCCTTTCTATTTGACACATCTCAAAAGCAGATAATACAAATCCAAGTTATTAATACTGAGAGTCAGATGCTAATCGCAGATGAACCACACACTTTGCTCTTATCACTGCAGTACTGCAAATGGCAGCAATCTGGAATAACACAAAGGAGATCGGGATTTCACCTTGAAATACACGTCCTGACTTTGACCTGTGGAGCCACAAAGTGACAATGGCACACCTCCCAGCTACTTATTTAAGCAGAGATGAGACAGTGAAATGGATACATAAATACATGCCTAAGTTTTAGTTACTTTTCTCTTGAGTCTGCTGCTACTTTGTTTATTTTATTTGAAGTATGACAAGTCAGCCATTCTCATGGCCTCACCCCAGCGAAAAGACAAACTTCTGGATGTTTCAATTTAAATGTATTTAACAATCCTTCACTTCTCAATTCTGGAAAAACAGTTAAGTGTGAGGCTAAGCCATAATTCTCTATGTTGAAGCCAGCCAAGTCCATCATTTTTGGAGGCAGCAGTTCCTACCTAAACATTCAGAGCAGTCTCTGAACACAACTGAGGGCTCCATCTTTTCCTATGAGCTTCATGCTCCAGCAAAGCCTGGAAGATAGCTTGAAGTACAGCGATCTTGCAGTCAGACCAGAAATGCCTTTCTGCACCTGAAAGCTTGTCCAGTATTTATATGACCTGTGGGAGCACAGTGCACAGACATCGAAGCAGGATGGAAACAAGAGAGCTGATGAAGCCACAGCATTGGGACTACATCAGCTTAAAAATTAACAAGCAAATCAATGCAAGCACAGACTCACTAATATGACTTGGAAGCTTTCAGGGTCTAAGCTACTCTCTGTCTCATGCTACCACATGCTGTGAAGGCACATCACCTTAGTGCAAGCAACACGGGATTTCACAACCTTGGGGAAGTCAGAAAAACAGTAAGATCAGACCTGATGTTCATAAGCCCCAAACTTTCACCAAATATCCTGCAAAGCTCAGATCGTAACCATAACAATACCTAAATATTAGATGGAAAAGGCTGCTGTCAGCTTGCTTCTCTAGAACGCGATCCAAACGACTTTATTCTCACCTCCATGGAAAAGCCAGCAGGATGTAAAATTAACTGCGCTGAATCCAAGCACTTTGGCACTCATGAAGGAAACCTCATCAGCCAAACTGGGACAACCTTAAACCTGTCCCATAAAACCACATTTGTAGGACGCTGGTGAGGGCAGGCTGATTGGCAAAGAGAAGTCACAAGGGTTTCTTGTAGTTAATAGCATACACTGCCATCCTACACCAAAATTAAAAACAAAAATCTTCACAAATTTCATTAACTCAGGATCTGTAAAAAGCACCCTGTTACTATAAAACAGAACACTGGGAGGTTAAAAACACTGCTCCTTCCCAGAGTTATTCACACTGCTTCACTATATGAAAAGTAAAATTTTATAACATCTGGTTTTCCTTTCCACCCACTATGATATCATGTTTTCCAAGCACATTTTGGCAGCTCACTGTAAAGATACAGGCAGACATGGAGGACAAAGTCAAATAAAAAGAACCTAAATAAATAAAATTCCAAAGCCCTGGATGCAGTGTTTCCTATCTCCAAATTTCAGTTAGACAAGCAGCATACTAAGGGTTCCCTCCCCCCCCTTCCACTTTGGTAACTCCTGTATTCCTCAACCTTCACTCTTCCTTGAAGATACACTGCACGTGCCTCCTCTGGAGTTTTAGCTGTGTCTTTTTCAGTCATTTCTCAAGTATTGTGAGATACCCAATTCCTCTATATAGCGAGACTCAGTTAAAGGGAACAATAATTGTTTAACAGGGTTAGATGTTGTGTGTACTTTATCTCATTCCTGAAGCTGAAACATTATTATCATCATTGTCACATTACTGACTGTGAGCAATAGCAAAGAGTAGCTCTGACTTTAAATAACAACTCCCAACTAACTGATTTATCTCATTATTACCATGCTTTGATGCAGCACTTTCTATATCCTCCATTCCCTATGTTATTATCTTTAGCTGTGCACATATAAAACACAAATTAGTCAGCATTAATATTCACTAAGCTTAGAGGTATGCTGACATTTTACTAATGCACAAGAAGGTAGCTGACTCATTTATGCTTGCCAGGGAATGACCTGCAAGCCTAGAAATCCGGTCTCCATTTCTCAATCCTAATTTCCCTGTTTCGTAATGAAAAAAAATTTGGAAATGGAAATAGACAACTTGGGAATCCTCACATGATCGAGTCTTTGGCTTGTTATTTGATATAAATTGCTTTGAAATATGAAAGTAATTATTAAAGCATACAAAGGAGGGAAGGTTTGTGTTCACCAACAACAAAAGAAAAGCTGACAAACTGATAGTCCTAGTGGTTATGCCTTGGTTAAAGCTGAATGACTGATCAACAAAACCATAACTTTCACACTGATGCAACCTGGAATATTTTATATATATTAATATACATATATTTAAAAACTATATATATATATATATATATATATATATATATATATCTTGATTTATCAGTTAAGACTTTCTATAAGAGCAAATGTAATAAAAATAGCGCTACACAAGATCTTATGTTTGTTGCAGCAAATCTCTAAATCCCTACCTCAATTATTTTTACAGCTCAGTTCTCCCATCACATCAAGTGAAGAAAAGCAAGCAAAAAGCAAAACCTTATTAGTTAAGAAGTGGCTATTACAACCCCATGATTTCCACACTATAAAAATCAGACTACCATTTTAAAGGCTATCATTATACATTTCTCTGGCCCTAGGGTAGCAAGAGACAAACAGATGAAGTTCAGGTAAAGGCAGCCCCGAGCAACTCATTTAGCTGTGCTGCATCTCAGTTTGTCAACCTGAAAATGAAAGCAGTACGTGCCTGATGTGTAAGGAGAACACAGACCACCCTGGAATGTTCAAGCAACAGGTTCTGTAATTGCACAAAGAAGTTATCTGCATGCAACTATTCTTTGGTTGATAATTGAATTATCCAGTTTTGGTTCTCTTACAGAACACTCACAGAGAGGAAATATACTATAAATAATCCACTTGCAAAAGATGCCAATTTTATCACAAATCACTGGCACATTTTCATGAATCCAATCATTTTATTCGATTCCAAAACTGCACTCCAGAAGCTTAAGACCTCTTAGATCTGCTGTTCCATGCCATTTCAAGCAAACAAGGAATTTCAGAGCTAGGCACTATCATATTCTTGCTGATTCCTAACAGCCTTTATCGGATTTCCACGGGAATAAAGCCTGTGCAGTGCCTGAAGATAGAAGTTAAGCTAACAGAGCAGACTCTCAGCAAGATAAGAAGAATCTGCCCGAGGAGACAACACAGATGTATCCCACCGACCCCTCAATCTATGATGATCTACCTACTCCTGCTCATAATCACTACCAAAGCAGTATGCTGCATTCACCTGTCTTAATGAGCCTGGTACGTTAAATTAAGCTCACTGTCTAAGACCGATCCAATGTGATCAGTATCATTTCCACAGAAAAATAGAAATTACTTGGGAATCAAAACTGAAACCACAGAGAGTAAGAAGAGTTGAACCACATCTCGTGGGAAGCAGCTTTGCCAGGCTGCTATTAATTCCGTAGAGCTCGCTGTCCTTCCTGAAACCAGTGGGAACACAGCAACTCACACCCCATTTCATCACTATAATGCCAGGAAAACCCAGAGTGACAAAAGCAGGAACAGGGAGTTGGACAGTGCTGGCAGGGACAGAAGTGGACTGTTTAGAGCTGAACACCCAGCCCCAACACTGCCAAGGCACTGTTCCAAATCTGCTGTTAAAAACAAGAAGGATATCTAGAGAAAGAAAGGTTTTGCTGATTGTGGAAAACATTTGATTCAGCTAACGCAAAACAACTCTGCTCTTTTTGTCTGCAAGAAGGAGCAGAAACAGCTCAGAAAAAGGAACAGAAACTTCAGAAATAGATTTCAAAAATGCAACAATCAAGCTAGTCTGTGAATTTGGCCTCAAAGGAAAGGCAGCCCCTAGGCTGCAGTACAGAACAGCGTAAACCAATAGACAAGCCTGCATCTGGATCAGGCAGGAATGGAAGCTTTGGTACTTTTCAATCACATTAAGAAGCATTCTCTTTCCACACTAGCTGCAGACTGCAAAGGAAGTTTCCTTCTGTTACTGAATGTCACACACCAGCTCTTGCAGAGCTAAGCTTTCAGCTCTGTGGCTCTATGGACTGTCCAGTCATTCTGACATGGTACTTTGCTCTAAGACAGGCTCTGTCAGGAAAGCATTACATATTATTTGGTAAGTGAAGTTACGTAGCACCTTATGGTTGTAAAAATAAAAATCAACTGATGCTGAATGGCTGTAAAACCAAAAAAAAAGCCTTCTAGAAAGTTAATGCTGATGCATAATCACTACAGCGTGAAGGTACATTCATATTTCAGATCAATGCAAACTTCCTCCATCTACTGGCTTAGCAAAGTTCACCAGTAGGTCTACTAACCCATACATATACTGTCAGAATTCTTTCAAATGCCAGAATTTCATTAAAAATAAATATTTTTCCAAGAACTCTCAAGCACCTGTATGTCAGCACTCCAAAAAGACATGGCACCAAACCTCAGTTTTTATAGCTGGTTTCCACTCCTCCCATACAGGCACAGTACATGAACTTCTTTCTTACCACTTCCCCAAAGGAGGCAGCCACCATGTGTGTTACTGGAGTCAAGTATGATGTAGAGTCATGGTGCAGCACAGATTTCACATTCTCATAGGTGATAAAAAATGCAGCAGCTGAAATTTAAACATACTTAAAGTCATTTAAGTGTTCCTGCATTCCTTCATTACAGAACTAGTACAAAAACATTTAGAGGTTGATTTCGTCACCTATTATTCTAAAAACACTTTTGAAAACAGGGTATTTACTGCCCCAAAACAGTACCAATACATAAAAGCGATCTGTAGGGAAATTCCTTCAGAAGTTTATGCTCCCAGTCATGATTGACAAAACTCCTTTGATGTCAAAGGCACCTACTGATCTAAGAAGTGCCAGAGCTTCAGGCAGAACTTAGAATTAAGATAAGGAAAAATGCTTTAATTAGTCACGATTGTCCAGCAGGTTTTCATAGGTCGTATCTTCCATGTTTTCCCACATAGGTGGGAAGGGCAGAAAGGAGATTGTTCAGTCCTGGTTGAATTGGATGGGTAACCTTTAAAAAGCAAAAAAGCCACCGAAGTGTTTGATGCAAGCATCTGCTATCACACAAAACAGTTTCAGTGGCAGTTTTCAGTAACTATTTCCGAGCTATGATCAGATCAGATTAATATTTTGTATCTTAGCTCCAGAAATAAATTCTTCAAAGCTTCTGAAGGACTCTCAAAATTCCTGTCCAGTGGACAGGAAACATAGAAAACTAAACCGAGCATAGGAACATAAACAGTGTTTATTCACAGCAACAGTCAACTGCAAAGGTACTTGTACCCTAAGGGTTACTCCTCCTAAAGACAATTTTGGTTTTCAGTCATATGCTGGAAAGATAAAACCACAGTTCAGATTTTGAAGATGTAAATCCTGAAAAAACTGACATGTCTTGCGGGGGAACAGATTTTAATTGTGAAGAAGGACTACGTGAATTGCCTTCTGCTAATCAAAAGATGCTTATCACCTCAAAGAAGATAACAGAGCAGACAAGATAAAGAACTGAATTTTTTATATCATCTTAGGAAGGACATCAAACATCTGAAGGTGTAAAGGGATTTGTCAGCAAAGTTCTCCTAACATTTACTATTAACAGCATAACTTGGTGGTTTTTCTTCCTTCACTACAAAGACAAAATGGACAAAGGCATTATGAATTTTAGATGCTTTTTCTCTGCAGGGACAAACATTTACTTTTTTAAAGTTTCAGTTTCAAAAGAATTCCTGGTACCTTCTGATTTTAAGTGATATTGAGCTGTTTCTTAGGGAGAAAAAAAAAACATGATATGCATAGCAGCCCTGAGACATTTAGTGTAAAGGCCTCCAGTGCTCAAGCACTTCACAATTTATTCAGATGAATTCTGATGCATTTCCCATGCTGTCATGACAAAACTGTGCAGGGCAAGCACAGCTCATGTCCTGGCACCTCAAAATACCCTGATTAAGTAGGAAGCAGCACATAAGACAAATCCAGGAACACTTCCAAGACTAAGAGACTTGCAGGAAAGCACCAGCAACATTTAGCACCAACAGTTACGTACTACTTGCCCACATGCAAACTTCAGAGCTCATTTAAGATATGCCTAAAGCACTGGGGTATACCAATCAGTCTCATATGTAATACTCTCACCACACTGAGGTTTATAATAGTAGGACTGATGCAGATACTTAACACAATAGAAAACACGAGGAAAGGACCAAACTGAACCCACATGAGAGATGTATACTGCCCATGACATAAGTAAGCTACTTCAAATCCAGCTACAGACTCCAGATCCCACTCACTCCCTGTCAAGAGTCACCGACAGGGAACTATTCAAGTCAAAGCTTCCAGAAAAAGTTAACTACAGTGTGAAGCCAAAGTGGATTAATTAAACTACAACGAAACCCTCAAATATGAATTGCATCTTTGCAAGCATTCCTGTTTGGGCAAGTTCCATGCTGGAATACAGCACTAAAGTCAGAAGCATAACAGAGTGAGCGTGCAGCAGCCTTCCTGCTAGGCAGGATCAGAGAGTTTCTCAATGTCATACAACTCTAAAGTCTGCACTTCACAGCTGGATGTTGTCTCACAGAATCCAAACAGTCATCTGCAGGAGAGGAAGCCACAGACACGAGCATCCTATTCGGTGCAAGTACCCACTCTGAGGAAGACAAAGCATAATCCAAACAAAATTTACCATTTGGAAAGGATCCTATAGCAGTGGAGGGAACGCCAGCATAGATGCCACGAAAGCCACCAGCTTTCCTAAATCCTTGGGGACTTTGCAGTCTGGTTTTTACAGTATCCAGAGGAAAAAGGATCAAGTCGACAAAGACGCCAGCAATTCCACCAGCCTTCATGATAAAAATCAGAGAGTAAAGTACATTAATGTTCACAGGAGTTAAGTTACAGAGCTTACCTAAGCAACTGAGGCACACCAAAGCCAAGGTACTATTGAGTATATAGTTTCTGAGGTCAAATTATAAACCCAGAGCCTGTAAGATCGCTAGCTATAACAAGAGAAAGAAAAGTCACAGCATTTGACCACTTTGTGGTAACTTTGAAATAATCTCATTATGCTGAAAAGCACAAGCAACCAGTGCACCATTTATTTACCACACATAAAATCAAGACAGTAAGTGCCAGTTATCAAATTGCCACAGAACAAAATGACCAATGCCTCTAGGAAGCCATGTGATAAGATCATGGAAAACAGAAGCAATTCTGCATCACCTTCACATTTCCTAGCCAATTTCTTCATTTATGGCATTCCTGCTTAATTTCCTTTGCTGAACAAAGCATAAAGTAAAACTACTTTATTTTCTTCTGTTGACAAAAGCATACAGAAAAAGAAAAAACATGTTTTCACAATCATAAGGAAACATGTTATTTCCCAAAGCAATTCTTAATATCAAACTGTAAAAGCAATTTCAAATAAAGCTCAATCTTTCTTAGAGCCCAAGTCTCTAGTTGACTTTATTTATAAAAGAGATTCCACAGACTGTGACTGATTGGTAAAGAATTACTTTCCAAAAACAGGAGGAAAGGACTTGAATAAATTGAAGAACTCAATTAAAATAATTTTTAAAAATAAACCACACTTCTAGTAAGTGTTATTTATTCATTGTGATTCGGAACAGCATAGTTAGCTGAAGTAGTGCAGCACACAAGAAACAAGCACAGATTTCTAATTCTACCTGAAAACAAATTATTTTGGACCCTATTTTATTTCAGTGCCAACAAAGGACTCCGAGAAGTATCTACCACTGGAGTTCTAATCAATAAGTTAATTACTCTTCTAATCTACTTAGCTATTTTGCATGCATTGATTTTTCTTCACTCTTTTTCATCAAAACCCTCATCTGTTCAAAACACCATTGATCAGATTTAATCTGACTTCACCAAGCCACCTGCTAACCATGAATCAAAAGTGATTGCTTCTTCAGATCCCCAACTTCTGTATGGCCAATGGCACTTAAATCCAAGAAGCAGATCACAGAGCACTTATGGCAGGATGACAAGACCTACAGCAAAATAGCAGTGACTTTAGTAAATAAAACAAGCAAATTGCACCTCCTTCCCTGCCTCTTAGCAACACTAGTGCTGAGAAGAGTAGAACAGCATAAAAAAACAAAACAAACAAACAAACAAACAAAAACCACCCTTATGAGGAGCTGAGCATCGCCATTAAAGCAAACTCCAGCAACATAGGGTGAAATCAGGCCCTAGAAATCAGGCCCTACGCGCGGCCTGCAGCGGCCTAGAGACACTGCAGAGGCGTCACCATGACAACACACAGGCCCCGGCCCAGACACTCACCGCCAAGGCCGCCCAGGACTCCCGCGGCTCCATGCACGGATGGCAGCAAGACGTAGCAACGCAGCGTGGCACGGAGAGTATATTTCCACCAGGGACAGGACGGAACTAAACCCTCTGCCCAGCCGACCTCCAAGCACACATGGGCGCGGCCATCTTGTTGCCCCCGGGCCGTGGTCAGGTGGGCGTGTGTCGCCACTGCGCAGGCACCTGAATGCTGCGCATGCGCACGGCGGGAAGCGACGGTGCAGCCCTTAGTGCTGTGCCCTTCGCGCCCTTCTGTAGCGTTGGGCTTGCAACCGCTGACGGCATCTTCGGGCTTTCCGTGGAGCTGTTCTGCAAATAACAGATCCGAGCAAAGTTCAGGGAAACAAATGAAGCCTCTGTCCTGGGGTTCATCTCTGCCGCATGGCTTTGCTGGAGCCCCTTCCTGGGAGCTTTGTTAGCATTCCCTGCAGGGGAGATGCTGGTCTTTGCTCCTGTCCCATCAGAAATGTTTCTGTGTTTTGCGTGTGTGTTTATGAGACATCCCCTCTCCACAAAGAGCACTTAAATTCACAGTGGCTTTGAAAGCCTCCAGGAGGATTCTGACACAAAGTCTTCATATAGTCCTCACCCAGCTGGAAGCCATGCTTGAAATTATGGGAAATACAATTCCAGGAGAAGGAAAAGGGGTGAATGCTAGAAAGCATTACACACACTGTGTTTAGAACTGGAATCACCTCCTGGTTTCATAGCAGGACCAGTGGACTTCTTTGACTATGGTAGCACTCTTGTCTGTGTTACGGCTGCTTGACCACCTTTCTTCCAACGCATGAATTCTAGGATGGGTTTTCGTGTCACCCTGAAGCAGTTTGCTGTTCTAGGAGTTACTTCTTGAAAACTTCGGTTCTGATTCTTTTGAGAACAGGAGCCACAGTTACTTGTATCAGCTACAATGCAGGGAAGACTGGACTGAGCAGTTATTAGAGTGACACCCAGCAGAGTGCCTGGCTTTCTGAAGGAACCCTGCTGTTCAGATAGAAGTAATAATGATCTGAAACCTACTGTTTCCAGCTGAGTTTCTGGCTAAATGACTAAATAAACACAAAAGCTGAAAGTTCTTTGGTTTCCAAGTCCATGTCTGTCATTAAACTAAGTTCTTCAATGAAGTGAAAACTAAACGGGGCCGGCAGGGGGGGGAAGTAAATGAATCATAATTTTAGAGCTATCTCTATATAATCCATTGATGGCAGCACTTAAAACGAGACCTCATTCACCACGTGTCCAGGAGGTCTCTTGATACAAAGGTGCTTGGGGTCATAGCAAGAATTTTTTCACATTGTTCATTGCAAAGCTTTCAAATACTCTCAGTGACAGTCTCTTTTATTTATCACCTGTCTGAAGTTCTGCTGCTGCATCAGAGAGGCCACAACCTCCTGTTCTTCCAAACCACCATCCTTTCTTAAATGAACAAGTTCTGCTTAATGCTGCAGGCCAAACATTAATCTTTGTGCAAAAGTCCTTCAGTGGACTCCCCCTGAGCTTGTGGAGTAAGTTGAATGGAGAAAGAAATCCTTTCTTCCTTGTGAAAATACCATGGATACTGCATAGCATCTCTACTGCAAACAGAAAAGATGGGCTGAGTATAGGGAATGCATGTCTGCACTGGACAGCAGACGTTACATACCCTGCTGTTGTAGGTCCTGCTTCCTGTTATGGCACATAAGTTCAGGTTTTTCAGTCGGTTCACCCACATGACTTTCAAGCACTGAATGATTTCACGCACTTTCTTCCTGCCTCTAGGATTTCTTTTATTCCTCTCCCCTTTTGCATTCTTAGTTAGACACTTAGTTAAACACTGCAGCCCAGAAGCCTCCACTTGCACAGCCCCTTTTTTATCTCCATTTTTATCCCTACTCCTCACTTTCTCTGGTTTTCTCATCCTGTGGTTGCATGCTGGTGAAAGTGCTTTTAAAAATGACCATTATGCCTACAGCACCTCAACCCTGCTTCCCTCAACCTTTGCAGCGTGTAAAAGCTTTGGTAAGAGATGAAAAGCTGTGCAATCACAGCGTGATAAAGAACAGACTGCAACTATGTTTGCCCTGAGTTGAATATGAGTTGCTGACACCACGGCTTATACTAAGTAAAACAGATCATAGGGAAGGAGTATAAGGCACTGATATGTCCTCTTTATGGGCTATTTAAGCACTACTTTGAATCAGTTTCACATTATTAATCCTTCCACTGGTGGGTATTTCTGTATGAAAAGGCATGTATGTATGTGTATGTATTCTCTTCTCTGTACTTCCTCCTCTGTTTCTAGCTGCTGTAGGAAGTCTGACACTAGCAGCAAAAGATTTATCGATTTGGTCAGAACATATTAAGGCTGCTGAAGACCAGATGTTAAAAACAGACTTTTTGGCATATATCAGCCCCTGGAGATATCAGTCACACACGTGTTCCAGTTTATTTATTAAAGCAATCGCTCTCCTCATTCTGTTCATTATCCTTCTCCTGGGCAATTCAGGCGCGGCCAAGCTGATCTCTTCCAGTCAGCCCCTTTTGGACCGTTGGATTTGCTTCAGTTCAGACAACACCCTGCAATCTTCCTTCCTGAGGAACTGGGCCTATCCCACCGTTGTGAAAAGCAGATGGAAATTTATCTGCTGCAAAAAAGTGTCCTGGAATTTAGTAAAAATAAGGACTCATAGATCCCTCTAATTTGATACCAAACAGGTACATAATTGGGCCAGGAAGGCCATCTGGAGGGGGGTTTCAAAGATGTGCCCACATATGATACCCGAGGGGCTGCAGTGCTCTACAGGAACTACAGAATGACATAGGGGTTCTGTTAATTCAGATTCAGTGCAGTAAAATCTCAGAGGCAACCTAAGATCAAGTGTCAGGTACAAGGAAGCATGCCCAGTGCATACCCCAGAACTGGTTCTTGCCTCCAGCTGCCACACCAGTGCCCCATAGCCCCTCTCCATGCTCAATCATGGTACTACAGACATCAGTTCACTTCCTTGTCTGTTGCACAGGCTTCTGGATCTGTTTCCTTCAGAAAAATGAAAATGAATTCAATTTATGCTAACATCCCACCAGCCACAGACAGCTGGACCTGAATGGGCAGCATTTTTTCCATCCTCTCCCCATTTTATCAGTCTCCCTTTTACTGCCTTGATCCTCTTGCAACTTTCAGGGAAGGCTGTTTTAATGTGTATTTTAGAATCTCTTTTTTTTGCTCGTTGCATACCTTAAGCTTCCCTTTACACTTACAGTAGAGTTCTTCTTAATCTCTTCTTAAGAAATCTGGCTGGTTTTAGAAATTTTGCTGAAATAGTAATTGCAGAAAATTTTTATGGAAACAGATGGGGGAACCAGACAGGCAGAGATTTAATAACTTCTGTGAGTACTTAGCAGCAGAAATGTTAGTCCCCAAATTCATTAAGATAAAAGTGATTAATGAAGTTGTAGATTTTGCATAATGATAGAAAGACTTAAACTGTACAGCTTTCTGATGATCCTCATTTATTCCGCCTTATTGGCTGCCTGGACAATGAGTGGGCTGGGAAAGACACAAAATGTCCTTTTTAACTGCTGGGTTAAGTAAGTGAAGTAACAATCCAGTGGCAATGTAGTGACCTTTTCATAGCGAGAGCATCTTCCAGATACTTTGCAGTTTTCCTTACAGTATAGCTGAATTAGTTTAATATTTCCATTTAGCACATAAGAGAAATGGAGGAAAATCTCAATTATGCTTGCATTTGTCATTATTGTCCAAAGATTTGACAACTAAAATCATTCACATCTGTTCTCAGCTCGTTTTGTGGGCTGATGCAATTACTTAGATGACTCAGGAAGCAGAGTTAAGAAAAAGTTTGCACAGGATGGCCCTAAACTGCCCCGAGAGTTGTGCAGTACCAAACTGTCTCAGATGAGCCTCTCTGACATTCCTCAGTAGTGGCTGGAACAAGGACACCAGCATCCTTCAGCAACCAAATTGCTTGAGTCATTCCTCTGGTGATCTAGTGCCTTCCTCTGTTGTAGAGGATTAACAGACCTGGTCTCTGCCAGATGCTGCAGGTAGGATGAATTAAACTCAGGGTGAGCTGTGCTCTCTTAGGAGAAGGACTGGGCACAACATTATTCCTAGACCCTCTGTCCCTCCATTTCCTACCTGTATGGACCAACAGGAGACAAAGCCCACCTGGTAGAGACCCAGCTTCCCGTTGGGCAATTTCGCTGAGCCTTCATAAAGAATGGCTAATTGAATTTCCTTGAATTCCATGTTGGTTTTTGACCCTGCCCTGCTCCCCAGTGAAGAACGAGGCTGCCTGCTCCCTTCCTGGTACCAGCACATCCAGTATCCCAAAACTACCACCCAGCACTGCCCAAGGAGAGGTGTGTGGCTCCAGCACAAGGGTGACCCTCACCTCCACTCAACTTCATCAGCCTGCTGGCAGAAATAAATTGCAATCATTTCTGTACAGACAAGGAGCAATATTTTAGAAAATTAGTTCATGGCCAGCTGTTTGCTCAGCTCTGAGGTTTTATCAGCTAAATTCATTCTCTGGCTCCCACGGTGCATGGCTGATGGGAAGTGCTCAAAATGACATATAGAACAGACACCACAGCCGAAATGATGCACCTATGGGGAGATGCTGCTGAAGAAGGGAGCTTAAGGGTTTATTTGAATGGCTGAATTTCAGCGTGTAAACTGGAGCTATTTTTTAAATGCAAACTATAAAAATAATGACATTTGCTTTAAAAAACTTGTGCTGTATTCTTGGTGCTGTGTACTTGGTATAATTCATTCTTAGTATCCCGTAATTCAAGGAAAAGTCTCTCTTAGTCTGTTTTGGCCACTCAGAAAAGGACAAAGAAACCACAGTACCACACACAGAGGATGGCTGTGAACCGTCCATGCACCACAAGTTTCTACACATCAGAAATCCCAACTACACAACAGTGATATTAAAAGGAGATAAAACAGGATATTGAGAGTCTCAGTAGTGCCTAAACATTTTCAGGTTAATAAATCTTGTTGACTGCAGAGACTTCTTGTTGACTTCTTGGGCAATATCCTTAGAGGCATTTCTGCAGGCGCACGTAGCCCTGGACTATTGCTGCAACAGGCATTGAGCCCAACAACTGAGCTTTTGCCCAGCACTCAGGACATGATGT